TACACATCATTGCTAGGAAAAGTAAGTACTGTCTATATGACTCCATGGGGGAGACAACTGGAAGCCTGTGCCTGGGTCTCTCCTGGACTCCACTTTATGTGCCTTTTGGCTTTATTGAATTTAATCTGTATGCTTTCACTGTAATAAACCATAAATATGAATATAACAAAATATATATATATATGTCACCTATTGTTAGCGTACATTTCTTTAAATATATAAATCACCTTTTTAACAAGAAGTAAGAGTACTTTTTGATTGTGCTATGTTTCCACAACCTCACACTAACACAGTGTAGGTGTGAATAAAATGTTTTAATTTTATTCATGAGAAAACGATCCCAGGAACTTAAATCAGAACTCAAGGTCAAGGCAAGCTCATGGGATCTAAAGCTGCAGGAGACCGAGCTCCTGATGGTGGCAGGAGGTTGAGCTTTGTTCTCCTTTCATGTTTGGCCTCATCCTTCTTATCTAGCAACCCTGATCTGATTTGGCCAACAACTAGGGAGGAGAAAAACCTCAAAAATTAAGCTAAGCATCTTCAGTTACTTGTTTTCAATCACATTTTTTCAGTTTGACTTGGTTCCCAGGTACCTTATGAAATTAAATCTGCATGATTTCTTTTATTACACCTCTGCTAATGTATTCATTGTTAAAAGTTTCGGGCCACAGCATCACAAAGACCACAGTGTATTACTTCAGAAATAATGAGCAAACAAAGATTTTTTTTTAAAAATAAGAGTTTAACTTTTGATGTCTAATAGATTTGAGCATCAGGTCACTTGTGAAGAATATGTAACTTGTTATTTTCAAATTGTTTGTCTAAAGAAAATTGGTACAATTTTTAAAATGTAGAAGGACATCATAAGACTTGCTTTTCTCTAATACCAGGGAATAAATGAGTTTCTTTAGTTGTGGGTAAGATTTTGTTCATCGCCGTTGCTCGTTTGCTACATTTAGATTCTGTCCTTTGGGATCGTATGTTAAAGAGGAGTTCAAATTCCCCTTATTTATTTTTTCAAAAGCCAGTACTTAGTTAAAACTCTGCCCAAGCTTCTTCTGGTTTTAGAGCTTTAAATTTTGCACAGAACTTTCAAATACTTTCATATATGATTATCCATGACTATTCTGTCAAAAGAAGACAGTTATAATATGGATTTATGAAATGCAGCGTTTCATTCTGTTAATCCTAACAGGTACTTATCACGTGCATCGTGTGTGGATCCATCCTTAGCGGATTTTAAAATGTTACATCGTTGCTTCACCATCTAACAGTTTATCAGAGGAACAGACACTGAAACGGAATGGATTTGTATAACATTCCGTGTTAGTACTTAGGAATAGCAAAATAACTGATAGATGGACAGCAAGAAAAGAAAGATTAAAAAAAAGTCTGAAGTCCGGATTACCCAGTGATGAATGGGTCTCCGAAAAATAGACATTTCGCTACACTTCCTTCAGGACGGAAGTTCTGAGGCATCAGCCTAAGGAGCTAAAAGAAAAATTAGCAGAGACCTCTAATCGCAAGTTAATGAAGCCACCTAGTGGTTTGTTACATCATTTAAGGTTGTGTGAATATGTAAAGCATCGCATCTGTGGGTCTCTAATCAAGTGTGAGTCGAATCCGAATCCTGGTCACTTTTCATTTAGTCCAGCCAGGAGGGTCAGTTTCATTGAGAATAAGCACAGTGCTGCTCTGTGTAATCTTTTGTTTATTTATTAGTTTTTTTTTTTTTTTTTTGCGGTACGCGGGCCTCTCAGCCGTGGCCTCCCCCGCTGCAGAGCACAGGCTCTGGACGCGCAGGCTCAGCGCCCATGGCTCACGGGCGCAGCCGCTGCGCGGCATGTGGGATCCTCCCGGACCGGGGCACGAACCCGTGTCCCCTGCATCGGCAGGCGGACTCCCAACCACTGCGCCACCAGGGAAGCCCTATAGTCTTTTTTTAATCAAAAAGGGCTTAAGGTAACGTACATGAAAATACAATGAGGGCACAAACTAGAAGATGAGAAAAGAGAAAAAACATAAAGATATAAAAAGTAGTAAAAATTTTGATAATTCAAAAATGCTTTCAAAATCCTATATGTTTTCCATGAAAGGACTCTACATTTTCAGGTAAGCGTGAAAACTGATCAGTTATAAAATTCACAATGTTCAGAACAGTGAAACATTTTTTAGGAAAAGTGAAATCCTACCTAATGTCAAGAGCAGAGTAAGTTTTCTTCTGGAGGTCCTCACAAATGAGGTACTGCCTAATGTCCTCAATCCTCATAAGAGAAATCATCCTGAGTCTTGGAAGATTGTTTTTTTTTGTTTTTGTTTTTTGCGGTATGCGGGCCTCTCACTGTTGTGGCCCCTCCCGTTGAGGAGCACAGGCTCCGGACGCGCAGGCTCAGCGGCCACGGCTCATGGGCCCAGCCGCTCCGCGGCATGTGGGATCTTCCCGGACCGGGGCACGAACCTGCGTTCCCTGCATCAGCAGGCGGACTCTCAACCACTGCGCCACCAGGGAAGCCCAGAAGATTGTTTCTTAACTGTGCCTACACTGCTTTGGAGGAGAATGTGCACCAAACTCCATTTTCAGGGCTTGCATGAAAGCATTTGGTCCTCACAATAAGCCTGAGAGGTAGGTAGTATTACTATCTCCATATTATAGATGAGGCCACTGACACACAGTGAAGTTATGAACTTGCCCGAAGTTAGGCTGTTAATAAATAATGGAGCTGGGATTCAAACCTGGGAAGTCTGGCTCTAACACCCATGCTCTTTTCCAAAATGCTATGTATACTGAATGACCCATCCAATGAAAATGGCAATACTGTATTGAATAGTTACACAGTCTGTGGGGCATTAGATAGGAGTGCTTTAACATGGTGCTGAAGATGAGGTCAGGATTGCATATTTCTGAGATGACCCAGTCAGCGTTGCCTTCCAGTGTCCCAGGCTTCATCCCTGACCCCAGCCACTGCACACTTATGCAAACACGTGTATAAACACCTTTGGTCAAAAACAGAGGACCAGGAAAGAGTACTCAGATTCACCACTTCCTGATTTCTAGAAAATTGCTGAAATCCATGACCTTTTTATAAAAAATTTATGTTATTGAGGTGTAGTTGATTTACAATGTTGTGTTAATTTCTGCTGTACAGCAAAGTGATTCATTTATACATATATATACATTCTTTTTCATATTCTTTACCATTTTGGTTTATCACAGTATATTGAATATAGTTCCCTGTGCTATACAGTAGGACCTTGTTGTTTATCCATTCTATATGTAATAGTTTGCATCTGCTAATCCCAAACTCCCAATCCTTCCCTCCCCCTTCTCTCCTTCCCCTTGGTAATCACAAGTCTGTTCTCTGTCTGTGAGTCCGTTTCTGTTTCATAGATAAGTTCATTTGTGTCATAGATTAGATTCCACATACAAGTGATATCATGTGGTATTTGTCTTTTTCTTTCTGACTTACTTCACTTAGTGTGATAATCTCTAGGTCCATCCATGCTGCTGCAAATGGCATTATTTCATTCTTTGTATGGCTGAGGAGTATTCCATTGTATATATGTACCACATCCTCTTTATCTAGTCATCTCTTGGTGGACGTTTAGGATGCTTCCACGTCTTGGCTATTGTGTGTAGTGCTGCTATGAACATAGGGGTGCATATATCTTTTTGAATTATAGTCTTGTGAAATCCATGACTTTCTGATGCCTTTGTATCTTCAGATACAAGATCTAAAATGCAATCATAACAAAACGTGCTTTATTTTGCTAGATTTTCTTTCTCAAAGTGGTATCTATAAATGTTTGGGAATGGCAGCTAAATTGATTTCTCTTAACCAGTCATGACAGTTGATTAGGCATGAGCGAGGCAAGCCTTGAAAGGAACTTGGTAGGGAAATAATGGCATCATTGAAACATTTCCGGTTAGTGGAGTCAGAATATCATATAACTTGAGTCTTAAATTGAGCATTTAGAATGATGTTCTTTTAAGCTGTGCATTAGGATACTTGTGTGGTTAATGCTCTTGCCAAGAGGAAAAGGTATACTCTATAAAATGACCCTTCTCGATAGAGAAGTCTCCTTGAAAACAAATTTCCATGGCATTTAAAACAAATGCCTAGCTCAGTAAAGATTCTAATGCTCCTGAAAGATTCAAGTTATGTTTGGGGACCTACTACTCAGAAGATTGAAGTTTTCAGGATGATAATCTTTTAATAGTTCTGCTGAATGCTTGAAAGATTCATCCTATCATGGGAACATAAATGAATGAGAGCAATGCTGAGATACGGTGAAAGAAACTGGCTGGAAATCAAGAAACTTGGGATCTACTTCAGGTCTTCTTTATTCTGGTAACAAAGAAAGACACAAATTCTTTGTGTGTCATTTTTCTTTTTTCCTTTTTAAATATATATATATTTTTTGATGTGGACCATTTTTAAACCACTGGACCGCCAGGGAAATCTCTGTGTGTCATTTTTCTCATGAACTTTGGAGTGAGATGTGAATTCAAACACCAATTCTGATACCCGTTAGCTGGATGATACTGGATTAGCCAGTTAACCTTTCCGGGCTTCAGTTTCATTATCTGTAAAATGGCTTCAGTAATACATAGATTTTATTAGATGCTTACTGTGTGCAGGCATTTTATATATAAAGGTTTATTTTTATACCTTTTATCTTTATAACTATCTTAAATGGAATGTTCACTCTTGTTATCCCTACTTTACAGGTGTTATCACTGAGGTTGAAAGAGTGGTGACGTGAAGAGTTTAATTAGGATAATTGATGTAATGTGTTATATCCCCTGGTATACAGCAGATTCTCCAGACATGGAGCTGATGTATTCCTGTTGACGTCATCTTCCCATCTCCTTCTCTTCTTTTGGGATTTGTTTTGAAGATTAGTGAAGAGGAGAGCCACAGGCTTAAACAGCTTAACTTTGGGAATTAGGGATTTAGGCCAAAATGTAAAAATAAAACTGAATTTTTATTTTCCTACAGGAGTGGCAAAAACTCAACTACGATATCTACACCCTGCGACAGATTCGAAGGGAAGTGAGAAATAGATGGAAACGCATTTTAGAAGATTTAGGTGAGTCTGAAAGTGATTATGAAATGGTAAAAATAACCAGTTGTGAGCATTCCTCTTTACTTTCTCCAGAATGGTTTTTATGAAAGGAATGTCAGTAACTGACTAAGGCTACTGTGTACTAATTATTTTCCCAATCCCGTCCTGAGATAAACATCTGATGTTTCTGTTATCACCAGACCCTGTCTTGAGGACGTATTTTGTCATGTGTTACTCCATCTGTCCTCAGTATCAAGTAGCACAGGGCAGTGGAATCATATGGGCACCACCATTGACTTTTGGGGCATTGTACATTGATTGCATTAGATGGGAGTGATTGGCCAGTTAATCATAGCTTTATAAGGTAAGGCAGATTGGGAGAAATATTATTTGTAAGAGACACAGCAAAATACCTGTGGTATTAGAGTAGATATTGGGTATTGATTTTTCTTAAATCTGCCAGGGTTGTGATACAATAAACATGGTCCTCACGTTACAAAGTAAGCTTGTTTTCATGTTTTAAAATAATGAATTTATCAATTTTGAAGTCCTCAGTCCTTCTGCTTTGAAAGAGAACATGACACCTTGGCATCATTCCCTTTCAAAAGTGGGGTACCAAGTTGCTAGCCGCTGTTGCTTTAGTTGGGATATGATGGGGTGGGGTGGAACTCTCCCTCTTTACTCACCCAGTATTGTTCTGACTTCATAGTCTCCTCTTTATGATGTAAGTTATCCCAGGAAGGGTAAATCTATGAGTCTTTTAGACCTTTGCAGTAAGTAATTTAACCAGTCAGCCTTATTGCCCCGGGGAAGGGAATCTGGGCTTGGAGAAGTAGGGACCTGAAGGTGACCATCGTGCAGGTTGCAGGGGAAGAAGGAATTCAGGAAACGGGAGGAGGTGGAGAGTGGGGCGTGGGAGAAGGGTTTCCAAACCAAAAAAAAGGGGCAGCAGGCAGTCAGCGGATGAGTGTCCGAGGCTTAACTCGGAGGAAAAAGTTAACAAAGAAAATCTGGTAAGAAGAAATCGCAAGGGAATTTTAATTAAAGACCCCACCAACCTCACTGTGCTGGGAGGCTTGGGCTTCAGTTTTCTCATATTTGTTTCCTAATCCACTGTTGGGTCCCTTAATCTCCTGCAGGACCATCATTTCCTTGTGACTAATTTACGTGAGGGTTCAATCTCTTTACCTTAGGTTTTCAAAAGGAAGCAGACTCTTTGTTGTCAGTGACAAAACTCAGCACCATCAGTGATTCTAAAAACACAAGGGAAGCTCGGGAGATATTGTTGAGACTGGCTGAAGAGACCAGTATTTTCCCAACCAGTTGGGAGCTTTCGGAGAGATATCTCTTTGTTGTGGTAAGTGGATGTCTTTCTCCACCTGCTCTGATTTTGCTTTAAAGTTTTGCTTCTCTGTTAGTCCATATTCTCAGCATTCTCACACCACCAGCTCCACCATGGTATGAGGTATGGCAGATGATTCTGGCATCTTATGCATTGGTACCCAGTGGCCAGCACATCATAATCACTTGGAGGGCTTTAAAAATTCAGGTTTCTGGGGCTTCCCTGGTGGCGCAGTGCTTGAGAGTCCGCCTGCCGATGCAGGAGACGCGGGTTCGTGCCCCGTTGCGGGAAGAGCCCACGTGCCGCGGAGCGGCTGGGCCCGTGAGCCACGGCCACTGAGCCTGCGCGTCCGGAGCCTGTGCTCCGCAAATGGGAGAGGCCACAACAGTGAGAGGCCCGCATAACGCAAGGAAAAAAAAAAAAAAAAAAAAAAAAAAAAAAAAAAAAAATTCAGGTTTCTGGACTGCACTTAGACCAGCTGAGACTTGCATTGTGGCTCAAGAATCTATCCGTATTTTTCAGCCAATTTAGCTGTGCAGTCAGCTTTTTGAACCATTTCTAGGTCAAAGAGATGTGAGAAATATTGTGTGTATAACCTAAGATTGAAAAATGATTTGAAAGGACGCTAAGAGCAGAGGAATGTTTCTTGGATAATGTAAGTAAGGGTTAAGGAGTGTCTCTCAATTTGTTGGGAAAAATTTAATAAATGTTTTACTCACTCATCATTATTTCTAGGGTGGATATTGTAGTTTTTAGATTGGTTTTCCCACGAACATGGCTTGGTTCCCATCTTGACAACATTTGTATTTTTAATTTTTTGGCAGGACCGTCTCATTGCACTCGATGCTGCAGAAGAATTCTTTAAAATTGCCAGTCAAACGTACCCCAAGAAGCCTGGGGTCCCATGCCAGGCAGATGGCCAGAAAGAACTGCACTACCTTCCCTTTCCAAGTCCCTAAGGGAGAGGCTACGAGGCAGAATGGGATTTCTCTTACTGGAACTCAACAGCCTACCAGAGTTGGACAGATGCGTGTCAAAGAGAATGGGCAAGAAGAGGCTAGCTAAGAGAAAAAGCATTCTGAGTCCTACAAAAGTCTAAGCGTTTGGATATCTGCTCATCATGAGGACTTGACTATATGAAAGTTGAGGCTGCGTTGGAACGCCCTGGTGATCTTGCATCAGAGAGTTGGTCAGTGGGATATTTCATCATGGGTGATTAGATTCCAAGAACCCATTGCCCCCATTTTGGTTTTGGTTGTACAATAAGCTGTAGCCACTAATCCTACTGGGAGAATAGGATGTTCTAGTTAATAAGATTAATAGAGCTATCATTGAGCCCAAATATGGATTACCAATTTTTAAATAATTGTTATATAATATAGGCTAACACCAAAATAATACCAGGCGTGACAAGACCTTTCTTTGATTTGGAAGCACCTACAGAACCTTGGAGGTGTTGGAGGCATCATTTTGAGATCATTCAGATTGTTTAGATATACGAAATGAGAGAACTATCTAGGAGTGCCGCTCAGAAGTGAATCCTAAATAGAATGCTCCCAAGCAGAACTTCCTGCAGCTACATGTGAAAAGCTGTGTCTTCAGCTGTGGTACAAGCATCTTGAATTCTCAACGTTACTGATATCTGCTTACCTCACTTTTACATATTGTCCAGCTCTAGTCCACAAGCCCTTGCTATTTTATCTAGGATAGCATCTATTTGACCTTTACTGTCTTCTTTTCTCTTCAACCTGTTTCCAGCTTGTCGACTGAGAGTTGCACCTGCCCAGGGACCTCTCATGCAGTGTGGCCTCAGCTCCAGGACCCAGAGTGGGCACAGAGAGCCCATGGTCACAGTGCACTGGGGTCAGTGCTCATCCTGGCAGCCTGGGGCTTAGCCCCGCGAGGCACCGGCAGCAGCAGTAGCAACTCTGCAGGCAGTGTTGCATTGAAGAAGGTCATTGCTGGACTTTCTTCCATCCTGAAGATGATTTTCAAAGTGGAACAATTCTGTCAATACAGTTTGCGTCTATCCACAGATTGAGCAGCCCAGTTTCAAAAGTTAATTGCCGGCCTTCCCTGGTGGCGCAGTGGTTGAGAGTCCGCCTGCCGATGCAGGGGACGCGGGTTCGTGCCCCGGTCCGGGAACATCCCACATGCCGCAGAGCGGCTGGGCCCGTGAGCCATGGCCGCTGAGCCTGTGCATCCGGAGCCTGTGCTCCGCAGCGGGAGAGGCCACAACGGTGAGAGGCCCGCGCACCGCAAAAATAAATAAATAAATAAATAAAGTTAATTGCTACCTAAGCAAGGAGCTTACCATGAAATCAGGGTTCATTTTATTGAAAAGACTTTGAGAGCTCATTGGATTTGTTAGTAGACTGCTGAGAACAATGGCAATATTTTTACTGTTACAGATTTTACTTTTCTGACTTCAAGTTAAAAAGTAACTTGTATTTAGCCTGTGCAGGGGACTGTGACTTCACAATTTCCCTACCCTGATTAGCTCTTCTGGTAGTGAACACCATGTTTAAAATATTTGTTAGAGGAGATACATGTTCTCCATTTATGAATGCTTTGCAGACCGATTTAACTCACATGTTTCAGGAATATTCTTCCTAGTTTAATAAGTAAACTAAAAGTTTTATTTTTTAAAATAAAAAAGACATTTTTTATTTTGTTTTATTTAGTACTTAGTGCCTCTCTCATGTTGTTTAAAATTAGCCTGCAGATATTTTCCCTCACGTCTATAGGCTCTTGCAAGATCAACATACAAACAATGAGACAAACAAACAAAAACAGACAATAAATTAAACCAAAAAAAATAAAAAACTTTGAAAATCATATTGTTTTCATCCTTGTCCTTGGAATTTGTATGTTGTCTTTCTGCCATTTTTTGGTGTCAAAATAGATGAGATTGTTTGCATCTATGGAGAATACACATTGTAACCATAGTCCTTATTTTTGGTAATGAATAAGTAAGGATAAAATTGTCTCTATGATTATAAAAACTCATGGAATTATCCAGGAAATTTTCCTTGCAAAGAATTAAAAGGTTTCTGTGTTTACTTTTCAGCTGAATGTATGTCATATTTCTGAGAATTAAGAAGGAACAGATATTCTTTCCATAATTCCTTTAAATTAAAGGGTAAAGAGGCTGAGAGATAGATGGCCTTAAGGACCTCCCATCATTCTAAAGCCAGTCAAGGGGCAGATCTGGGCTCAAGTCCATTGAGGAGTACATGAGAGAGGCTTGAGGGTGACTGACATGACCACTTCAGGCCACAAGGTGCTCAGCACAACCGGGATCCAAAGGTTCATGTGTGTCTGCAGGGAAGTTTCAGGTGGTAGATGGATGGAAAATTTTATATTAATAGTTACTTATGTTAGTGTGCACCAGGGGGAAAACCCTGTAATTAGCAGATAGAACACCTGATTTCCTATTCCATGAAACAACAAATAATATGTGTTGCAAATATTATTTGTTGCAATAAAAAAATTATTGCAACAAATAATAAAGTATTTATGTTTTCTTAAAGGAGGCCCCAGGAAGGCACAGTGGACACACTGACCAAAGTGATAAAGAATGCTTTGGTGAGGAGTCACCAGGATCACTGAAAACTCAGTAATAGCCCCGTAGGCCAGAGGGTGTTCCAGAAGTGGGCTCACTGGTAGCAATGGGGATGGCAGGATAGGGGCCCAGTGGCAATGCTTCACTGTCAGAAGACAAGTGGACACAATTATCATAACAAATGGCCAGATCCGAGGGGCACCTGCAGAGAGATTTGGAGATGGTTAATGGATCGTGGCATCCCTAGGGGCAAAACAGATGGGTAGCCAATAAGAGTATTGCTCAAGCTGTACCATCGAAAGATCTCAAGGATGGAGGATCAGGAGATAGGTAGGACACAGCCACAGCCACATAATAAGTAGTTATGATCTCTTGCCAAGTTTCCAGACCTTGGCTATTTTCTAGACCCAGAAACTACTGACTAAAGGAAAGACTAGATCCCCAAGAAGGAAGACTTTGAAACACCACCGCAAGTGTATATGGCACTGCTTCCCCTAGGCCTGCCTCTAAAGGACCTATGGTCATTTGCTGAGATAACTGTACCCTGGGGAAAGGAGTATACACAAACACTCTGAGGACATGGGACACAAGATCCAAGTTGACGTTGATACCCAAGGACAAGAGAATCATTACAGTGTGCCATTTAGAAGGAGGGTACATGGAATTCAAATAATAAATGGAGTCCTACCCCAGTTCTAACTCACAGTAGGTCCATTGAGTTCATGGATCTACCCAGTGGTCACCTTCTCAGTTCCAGAATAAATTATTGGGCTGAGCATACTTGGGACTCGGCACAACCAACATTCATTTTTTGGCCTGTGGGTTAAAAACCATCTTAATGAGAAAGCTAAGTGAAAGGCTCTGAATAGTAAACCCAAATCAATATTGCACTCCAGAAAGATGACAGAGATCAGTACCCTTAAAGGCATAAAGGATGCAGGAGTGTTGGTCCTGATTATAATTCCATTTAATTCACCACTCTGGCCCTAAAACTAGATGGACACTGGGGAATGAAAGTGAATTATTGAAAATTCAACCAAGCAGTAGCCCTAATTGCAGCTGCTGAGCTAGAGATGGGATCTTTGTGAGAATAAAGTAACAAGCCTCAGCTACAATGTGACTGTTGATCTGGCAAATGCGTTCTTTCCATACCCATCAGAAAGGTAGGTCAGAAAGTGTTTGCATTCACTTGAGATGGACAACAGTATACATTTATGGTATTGCTCCAGAGCTATCTAAACTCTCCTGCCGTCTGTTATAGCCCCAAAGGATCTGGACCATGTGGACTCTGTAGAATGTCACATTGGTTACTATATCGGTAACCTTAGATCCGATGAGTACCAAATGGCAAATGCATTGGAGACCTTAAGGAAAGACATGCACTTCAAAGGATGAGAGAAATTCTACAGAGTCTCAGGGGCCTGTCACTTCGGTGAAGTTTTCAGGGGTCCATTGGTCTGTGGCATGCTGAAACATCCCCTCAAAGGAAAGGTTGAGTTATTTCATCTTACACCTCCCACCTCTACGGAGCCAGCAGAATGCTTGGTAGGCTTTTTTATGTTGTCACCTAGAAATACTGCTCCATCCCATTTAACTGGGTGACATGAAAAGCTGCCAGCGCTGAATGAGGTCCAGGGCAAGAAAGGGCTCCAAAGCAGGTCCAGGCTATGGCCAAGTGGCTTGACACTTGTATCATAGGATCCTACAGACCCCTTAGTATTAAAAGTCAGTGATAAGAAAAGCTGCTATGTGGAATTTATGGAAAACTCAATAGGAGAATGACAACACAGACTCCTCGGGTTCTGGAGTAAGGCCATGCCATTTGCAAGGGATAATTACACATTACTTGAAAAACTGCTTATCACGAGTTTGGTTTTTGTCAGACTCATGAAGGCATGAGTGCAAAGTCTAGCAACAATCTACTTTTTCCCTGTTATTTTTAATATAAACTCTTAATTTTAGAATAGTCTTAGATTTACAGAAAAGTTCCAAAGGTTGTACAGAGCATTCCCATATGTCTCATATCAAGTTTCTATTATTAACATCAAACCGTAGAATGGTACATTTGTCACATCTAATGAACCACTATTGATGCATTATTGTTAACTAAAGTCCATAGTTTATTCCAATACCTTAGTTTTCACCTAATGTCTTTTTCTGTTGCAGGATCCTATCCGGGTCACTGTATTGCATATAGTCATCATGTTCTCTTAGGCTGTGATAGTTTCTCAAACTTTCCTTGCTTTTGATGACCTTGACAGTTTCGAGGAGTACTGTTAGGGAATCTAGAAGAGAGATGATAAGTATTACTGTGGCCTTGAGACCAGCTGTAGCAGTGGGGCTGTAAGTTGTTCAATTAGCCTTTCTTCAGGAAAAGAAATGCCCCAGACTCCCAGAGGATCCTCTCCCAGGATGTGCCATAAAAAGCAAGTGGGGGCTTCCCTGGTGGCGCAGTGGTTGAGAGTCCGCCTGCCGATGTAGGGGACACGGGTTCGTGCCCCGGTCCGGGAAGATCCCACATGCCGCGGAGCGGCTGGGCCCGTGAGCCATGGCCGCTGAGCCTGCGCGTCCGGAGCCTGTGCTCCGCAACTGGAGAGGCCACAACAGTGAGAGGCCCGCATACTGCAAAAAAAAAAAAAAAAAAAAAAAAAAAAAGGCAAGTGGATCCAAGCAACACAGGGATACACTGTAGCAGATGATGTGGAGTACTGCTCAGGTCTGGCCCCTTTGGGACTGAACTATTCATTCCTCAGCTTCTGGCAGTGTTGGTGTCTGAGATCTCAGCCGGATCTCTCTGTAGGAATTGACTTCAACCAGTGAGAGCTGCCTGGTCCAAGGCCACTCCCCTGTTAGGGGCATCCTGCCTCTACTGACTAGTTAGTTGTTGCAGGGCTAGAAAGAGTTATCCTAGCTCTAGAGCTCCCCATTAGATTGACTGAGGCCTTTATTGTGATGACATCTCAGTACAATTGTCCCAACCCTGCCTTTCCTCTCTCCTCCGTAGCTAT